TATAACATAATACAAGAAATTTTTTCATTTAAAAAATCTGTGTTGGAGCCAGGCACATGGCACATGCCTATAATCCCAGTGGCTTGGGAAGCTGAGGCAGGAGGATSGAGAGTTCAAAGTTCACCTTAGCAACAGTGAGGCACTAAGCAACTCAGTGAGACCCTGTATCTGAATAAAATACCAAATAGGGCTGGGGATGTGGCTCAGTGGTCGAGTGCCCCTGAGTTCAATCCCCAGTACCAAGAAAAAAAAATCTGTATTGGAATGGTGAGACTTACAGATAATTGTAGCATAATACATTATTGCTATCAGTTGTGKTTTTTTTTACTCTGTTACAAAATTAAACATCTATGCCTCTTATCACATGATGTTGTAACACCTCTCACTAGAATTAAGTAGAACACGTTTCCCTTCCCTAATAATTTTGTGCTTAGCCATGAAATTTACTTTTGTCAATGAAACATCAGCAGATAAAACTTGAACAGAGACTTTAAATGTGTTTTCATGTTGGAAGCACAATGAACTGTGCCCACAGTTATGTCTGAGCCATCTCTAAGTGGAGGGAAGCCCCTTGGAGAACTCTCAGTGTAATCTCACCCATGTGAGATGGCTTTGTTGCCTTGGCAAAGGTCCTCTTTAAAGAGAATTCTGTGACACAGCAGAATTTATTGCCTCTAACAGCCCTACCTTCAAAAGCGACTCCCCAGAGGTTGAAAGAAACACCAGTGTGCCCAACTAGCCTGGGGCACCAGCTCCCTGGAGAAGGAACAATTACTGAGCAAGTGATAAGTCCTCAATCAGGCCAACTTCCCAACACTGCCTGGTTTCTTTTTTACCTTGAGGAACCCTTCCTCACAATAAATTCCTTTGGTGTATTTCAGTATAAATAAAGCATTTGTGGGTTTTTTCCCTTTGTTAGGATCAGATCCATCAAGTCTTTTCCACCCACAAAGCCCTCACTTTAAAAAATATTTATCATGTCTTTTATTTMTTTTTTTAAATTATTTGTTCTAATCAGTTATACATGATAGCAGAATGCTCTTTGATTCACTGTACACAAATTTTCACTTCTGTGTTTGTACACAAAGTAGGGTAATACCGTTCACTCAATCATACACACACGTAGGGTAATGGTAATGATGACCAGTCACATCCCACCATCTTTCCTACCCCTCATTCCCACTCTCCCTCCCTCTTTGYACAATCCAAAGTTCCTCTACTCCTCCCATGCCCGGCCTCCATTATGGATCAGCACACTAATGAGAGGAAAACATTCTTTGGCCTTTGTTTTTTTGGAATTGGCTTACTTCACTTAGCATGATGATCTCCAACTCCATCCATTTACCTGCAAATGCCATGATTTTATTCTCTTTTAATGCTGAGAAATACTCCATCTTGTATATATACCACAGTTTCTTTATTCTTTCATTTATAGAAGGGCATCTAGGTTGGTTCCACAGTTTAGCTATTGTGAATTGAGCTGCTATAAACATTGATGTGGCTGTGTCACTGTAGTATGCTGTTTTTAAG